CTGCAAATTATGCAATTCCTACCACTTCGCTTGGAGATGCTAGTCCACGTCTGCTGAAGTTGTATTTTACACACACTTTTGCGCAGTATGACTCATCACAGTACTTCTCAAGATTAACAGAGTATTAAAATATAACTAATCACCTTTAATAAAGCATATGTGGGTGTCCACACAAATACTAAGTTATTTTTTCCCATCAGTACAAAAAGAAGGCAATGAACTCCAGAAACAATAAACAAAAGAAATGACTTTAACGAATATGTCATAAAGTGGTCAACTACTAGCAGTTTTTGCATTTTGTTGTAAGTTTTATACAAAAGAACGAGGCTTCAAAACATAAATCTTTAATACCCTAACAGATAATTTCACTAAGTTTTTTTTTTTTCTTTAAGTGTATATCCCATGTTTTGTCAGGAATAAAGGTATACACAAAGAAAGCTATATTCAATATTCTCCCCACAAAATATGTGTATTTATTGAGCACCTACCATGTGACAAACATAAGAATAATGTTAAAAAAAATAAAACTCTAAGTTATTGCCTTCGTATGTAATCAGGGAGGGAGACAGGCAAACCAATGGCTATCACGACAAAACTGAGGTAAGTTAAACAACAGAACAGGGAGACCTTTGGGGTAACCACAGAAACCCTCTTCTGAGGAGATACTGGGAAGTAAATACTGGCAAGAAGCACTCCGCCATAATAAATAGTTAGAAATCCCTAAAGGAAATAAAGCCTTAACATTAAAAATAAGAAAAGGACAAGACTAAATAGCTTTAAGAAGTTTTTATCTTAAATTATAGTTTTCCACAATAACCAAGATATTAATTCAGTTTAACATCAACGTCCTGGTGATGAAATCTCAATGTTACGTTTAGATCATCAACTCTCATTTGAAAATTCTGAAGAATCTAGGATCAAGTGAAGAAGGGTTAAACAACATGTAATGATAAAATATTACCTGCTTTTTCTTTGGAAGTCTTCCTTGTACCCACACATGAAGAAAAAAGCAAACTTAACCAGCTTGACTTTAAAACATATTCTGATTTTCTTAAAAAGTGAATATAATCCAAAATGCCAAGTTTATCATCTTCCTAAACAGAACCACAGAATTATCAGTGGTTAGCAAGTCTGCCTGAAACCACCACAGATGATTAATGGAGTTATAAAACCTGATAATAGATACGAATCACTGTAAGTGCCCCCCCCAAAGCAAACAAAAGAAAACAAACCACAACTATACACATACACAAAAAGATTATCCAAATATATAAATAAATATAAGGCTTAAATCTTATTTGTACAAATCAAATTCTGCAGTAAATTTGCTCAACATTTACTGAACATAATAAAGGCCAGTATAATGCTTACATTATTGTAGAAAACTAAGATATAATTTGTGATGGCCAAATAGACTAAAAAGTTCATCATTAGGTGGTAAAAATTTTCAGACAAGTTTAGATAAAGCAAATTCAAACCATTGGCCTTAAACACTGGTTTAGAGAATTAACATAAGTTTACTACATCATAATGAAAGATATACAACATGTTAAATCTGAAGCTTAACTTCCAAGACCACACTAAACTTAATAGTATGCAAAGGTTCTCCAGAAAACAAAACAGAAACTGTGACCTAGATACTAGATAACAAAAAAACTAAGAAAACTAACATATGGACATTTAAAAAACAATTTATTTCATTATAAAAAGACTTCTAGTACAATCCTTGAGAATCACTTCTAAAAATAGAAATGCTCAGGTGTAAGTGGGGAGGAAAAGCTATAATACATAATCATTGTCAAAAAAGTCCTTCAACTTTCGCTTTGCTTCAACACGAGTACACAGCAACTTTTCACCTGTTGAACCTATGAAAAAAAGTGGCTCTCCAAATGACAGGCCAGTTTTACTTTAACAACTGCCCGTATCTAAGAATATAGAGAAAAAGTTTCAAATGAGTGCTTAAAAACTAAACTTAATGAAGTCTATTAACTATAATCTGTTTTTGATTTAAATTTTTAAAAATACCACCTTAATTTAAAATCCCAAGGAGTAAGATGAATTATTACTAAGCTGAAAGAAAATATTCATTTTCTCAACCAGACTTGGGGAATCTCTCAAAAAACTATTATAAATAGATCCATTCAAACAGAAAAACAAAACAATAATGTACCAAGATATTTTACATCCAAATTTTTTAAACCAGAGATAAGAAAAATGAACTTAATCCTGAAAAACAACACAATCCTGAAAACTAAATTACTGCATGTCACCTTCCAAAAGGCATGCTAATAAGTCGAGGAACACTTAACTACATATTAATTTGCTTACTAGCATCTAACTTATAAAATCATTAGACAAGATGAGCTGTCAATCAGTGTTCAAATTGGCAACCTGAACCCCGTAATTTACACAAATGCTCTTCTACAGACAATGGGGTTACCGCCAGATAAACCCATCCTAAATCAAAAATATCATACACTGAAAATGCATTTAATATACCTAACCTACCAAACATCACAGCTTTGCCCAGCCAACCTTAAATGTGCTCAGAACACAGTATCCAAAAATTAGAAATAAATAATAAGTAAATAAATAAAATAAAACGCTGGCAACACAGTACACTGCAGAGTAAGGGTTGCTGACCTTTGACCTGGTTGCCATGGCCTGGCTGACTTGCCGCTGCGGCCCACCGCTGCCCAGCATCACCAGGACTATCAAACCGCAGCGAGACCCGGAAAAGATCGTAATTCAAAATTCGAAGTAGTTTCTATAGTGAATGGGTATCGCTTTAGCACCATCATTAAGTCGAAAAACTGTGTCAGAAAGTCTAAGTGGAACCTTAACATTCAATTAAGGATCAAGATGAATGTCTCTAGCCATGATGACCAAAGAAATGGAATCCTTCCCACCACAGGAAAAATCAATAAGTTAAAATAGGTAAGTCAACTTATTAAAAAATATACACTGAGGTTTAATAAGCAAAGGGATTAAATTTCATGAGACTGTTCCAATTTGCCAAACATGATTGATGCCTAAGAGCTACTATTTTAACAAATAATATTAACTTTGAATTACCTATTGGAACAAATAAAAAATACAACAGATGCTATTAAAACAATTTCCTAAGGGGCATAAACCCTGGGAAAGGTGGATTTCACGCAGTTCAAGTTTGTGCAACAACTACAACTTAAGAATGAAACACAATGCTAAACGTTCACGGCTATGAAACGATTCACAGGGTCTTTCTCCCACACAACCTCCCCGATCCCAACGGATTGAGACTCAGACCTGTTTTTTTTAGAAACTCTTCGGGACTCTTTCTGCAGCTTTGCTATAAACAAATACCATTGTCCCAGACCCAGAGCAAGTGTGATTTCCTCCTTTTCTCAGGAGCACGCCCAGGATTGGCCACCCCGCCAGGCAGGACCGCGCCGGCCCGGCCCCGGCCCAGGGAGACCCGGGCCCCCTCCCCCAGCCCTGCCGCGGGCCTCCGCCCCGGGCCCCGTCCCCGCCCCTCCCGGCCACCGCGGACACCAGGACCAGCCTGCTGGGGGAGGGGCGTTCCTCCTTAAACCTGAGCTGCAGGCAACGAATGGGAGAAAACGTTTTTTTTTCCACTGGAGTTCAATTCCGGGCCGCGTTATCAGCAAATGCGCACAATTAGAACAACTTTCCTGATATTTGCTTGACTCTCGCGGTTGGCAACCCCCAAGTTTCCAAACCCACTGGAGCAAAACGCCGCCGATCACATGCTCTCTCAAGTGACAAAGGTCCGTAGTGCCCACAGACAAGGGGCGCCGCGGACCCCGGCGTGCGGGTCGGGGTAAATGGGATAAGATTACGCGCGACCACGCCCGCCTCCCACCGCAGGACCTCCGCACAGACGCCGCCCGCGACCCCACGCCCGGCCCGGGACCCCCCCACGTCTGGGCTGAAATCCCCCCACCAGGCCCGGGACCATTCCTCCGCCTGCGACCCCATCCCCGGCCCACGACCCGCACGGGGCCGGGCACCCCGCGCCTGGCCCGCGACCCCCACCCAGGCCGGGGACACGCGCTCCGCCCGCGACCCCGCCCCCGGCTCCAGGCGCGCGACCCCCGGCCCTGGGCGCAGGTGACCGCGCTCCACGCGCC